GATCTGAGTGAAATATACAATGTAAGAATATTAAGAATTGTCACAATGAATCCCCCCATACAAACTAATATATCTAATATAAATGGGAAAAAAAATTTGAGGTGAGAGTGTGGTGCATGCTTATAATTCCAGCATTCAGGAGGCTGAAGCAGGAAGATTGTAGTTCGAGGTCAGCCGGCCATACATAATGAGACCCTCTTCTAAAAAAAAAAGTGAGATGAACAAAAGCCTTTTTATTTTTATTAAAATAATACTTAGATTTTAATTTCCCCCTTTTCTACAGGATTCCTATTAATGGAGAAAGCCCAAAACATCGGTCATGCATACTTTAACACCAATAGCTGCTGATAAAGCTTTCCTATTTGGTGGCCTAAGTGTGCAGATAATATCCCATTAAGTAAGTCAATTAAAGTTTAGCATGTAATTATCTCATTTTTTTCTTAATTGTACTTCATACTTATGGAGAAGTCTTTTTTTTCCGTTTATCCTCAACTCTGTGCTTGCACTGAGAATTAGAGGGGAGGATGCTCAGTGGTAGCGCACTTGCCTGGCATGCACAATGCTCTGGGTTCACCTCCCAGCACCAAAGAAAAAGAAAAAAGAAAAAAAGAATTAGAAGGAGAACCTCGTTCTTCTACCCTTTGCTCTCCAGAGAAGTGGAGGGTGGTGAGCCTAGCTGAACTAAAGCTCCTTTCCACTGTTCTGTGCCTACCCGGTTTCTATCCAGATGCTTCTACTATAGGCTGGAATTAGAAGATTAGAAGAGCAGCCTTCCTTAGAAGCCTTGAACGTACAAGGTGGGAATTCTCCTTTTCCCACAAAAAACTCTAAAGGAAAATACTTAGCAGGGCACCATAAACTCCTATCACTGCTAATCCAATAGCTATGGATTTGTAATGCCAGCTTTTCTTTCAGCTATAAAATTGTGGCATTAGGGTAGACAGATGACCAAGAACATCCACTTCTTGGTTTGACATATTAGATGTGTTATATTTTTCTTAAACCAGAATTTTTCCCTGACGAGAGAGTTTTCATTAAGAAACCTTGGGTTGGTGGAGTGGCTCAGGTGGTAAAAGCACCTGCCTAACAAGTGAGGCCCTGAGTTCAGACCCCAGTACCACCAAAGGAAAAAAAACAAACCATTATATGCCATTGTACCATTAAAGCTATTCACATAATTTTTATACAGATTCTGGAAACAACTGTTTTCAATAAAAGTTTATTGCCCAGCAGCAGCGCATTTGGAAGTCTGCTTGCCACCAAACTCCAGAGGAGTTTGGAGAAACAGCAGTTCCTAACTGGGGGTATTAGCTATTTTTGCAGAGTACTATTCGTGTCCAATTTGTGAGGTTTTAATTAAAAGAGGGTTGGAATCTAACAAAAACTAGCGTCTACATTTCACTAGAGGTTTTTTAGTACCAAACTTTGTGAGATCTAGTTTTTTAATTCCTGTTATTTTTTTGGTCATTTGCCCATAGGAAATTAAATGTCTTAACTCTTAATCAGTTCCTTTCCTCATAGATTCCAGCTTAAGATTTTGTTATATGGATACCAAAAAATTACTTTTAGTTTTGTTGACTGTGATAATGGCATTGTGTCCATTTTGTTTTTAGCAATATATCCTGATGTATGGGAAAACAATAGGAGATCTAGGAATTTGACTTAATAATTCAGCAAAGAGAATAACACAAAGAGATAAATGGTGCATATGTAACAAAGTTTGTTTTTTTTTTTTTTCCATGCTGGGGTTTGAACCCAGGGCCTCTCAAGTGCTAAGTACACACTCCTCCACTGAGATTCACACCTGGCCCAAAATCTTGATAATTGTTGAATCTGAGATAGGTGGACTGTTCTACTTATGCTTAAAAATGTTTCTGAAAACATATGCACATGCAAGATAATCATAAAATGTAACATATCCAAAGACCTAGTCTTAATTTCTTAACTTGCTATAATATTGCAGGTGATGGTTGGATTCACAATATCAAACAAATTGTTGGAACAACTTATTCATTTACCTAACACAAGACCCAGGTAAGTCTAGAAGTTGACAAATGGTAAAAATAGTTAAGAATTTTAAAGTATTAAGATATAACAGTGATTTATAGTGTTTGTAATTGAAGTCGTAAACCAGCAGGAAGAATACCTTTCAAACGAGCCTTGTTTCCTAAATAATTATATTTTTATTATATCTAATTGTTAGAAATGAATCTATTCAGTTTTCATCCATATTTGCATATTTGAAAGTGTTTAGGTAAATGCATACATAATATTGCCGGATAAATATGAAAAAGAGATAATTTAAAATGTTAATTTTAAAAATACTAATATTTTTAAATAAGTATAAAGAATAGGGTTGCTTTTTTTATTTGTTTTTAGAAGAAATTTAAAGCAATTTAATGAAGAAATTTGCTTTATGTTGATTTAGTAGATAGCAAATTATTTTTATTAACAGTCTGTTGTCTTGTAAATGTGAACTTTTGGAAAAGAAAATGTATTAGTTATCTGTGGTAAATGTCCTAATTACCAGGAGAAAAAATCTTATTATATAGGAGAAAAATAATAGAAACAATTTATCATTATTTAACAACAAAGAAAAGCACAACAGTACTAAAGTTCTTTTTAAAAATTTGATTGAAAAGTATAATAAATATATCTTCATAGGAAGTACAGATTCAGCATGTAATACAAATGATGGTCAATAACAGATTTTCTTTTTTATGCCATGTACTCAGAACTTCCTTTTAATGTAGATTATTTATTCTATGTGAAGTCAATTTAATTATATGTATTTTGTTATTTAACATTGATAAGTAATTTATCTGACAAAAGACCTAAAATATTTATGTATATTTTGATATGTATATCTATGTTAATATGCACTATAAATTTAGACTCTATGATAATTACAGATGTGATTCTTTTTATATTTAAAATTCATTGAGATATTTTAACAGTTCTGGCTCCTTTGAAACATATTTGTTTAGGCAGTTTTATATTAAGATATGGAACTAAGAGTTCTAGTCATTGCTCAGCTATTACTTAGCTTTTTGGCTTTAAAAAGTCTCTTAAAGGAGGTGTGGTCCAAGTGGTAAAGCCCCTGCTTTGCAAGTGTGACATGGAGTTCAAACCCCAGCCACCCCCCAACACCCCCCTGCAAAAAAAAGCCACTTAAATAATCCTAGCTGCTTGGGATGCTGAGATTTAGAAGATCACAGCTCAAGGCCAGCCCAAGCAGGGAGTTTGTGAGACCTTCATCTCAACCAATAGCTGGGCGTGGTGGCATGCACCTGTTATCCCAGCAACAGTGGAAAGCTTAAAATAGGAGGATCGCAGTCCAACCCAGCCTGGGCAAAAAATAAATAAAGCGAGACTCTATCTCTAAAATAATCAGAGCAAAAGGGCTGGAGGCCTGGTTCGAGTGGTAGAGTATTTGTTTTGCAAATGCAAAGCCCTAAATTCAAAACCTAGTACCTCTGCGGGAGGAAAAGGGTGGGGAGAAGGGGGGATGTGGGAGGTATGGGGGGACGAGACTGAGCATCAACTTTTTCATCTGTCAAATAAGGGAGCTGGGCTAGATAATCTCTAAGGTTCTTCCAGTTTTTTTGGTAGTATTGAATACATTTTATTATAGACCAAAGTGGTAGTAAAAATGTTTAATTTTTAAATTGCTATTTTATATTTCAACCCTTAATCTGTAATTAGAGCAAAACAACTATTGTCAATAATATACTAGTTAGATCTAGAGCTATGTAAAGAGATTTCTTTTGATTCAGCTGATATATCATGCAAATAATATGCTTTATTAGAATGTTTAGGTGATAAGTTTAGAGCAGCTGTGAGAGGACATAAACTGTCAGTCTGTAGAAAACACATCAGGTTGCAAGCTAGATGTCACCAAAATCAAGGCAGGAAAGGCTTTCCAGTGTTCTTCGATGATGAAATCCAGGCCAGAGTTTCCCTAAGGCAGATAAGACAGAGGCAGATCTATCTTCAGGTATGAGGTGAGGAGGAGAAACAGGTGGGATACAGTTGAGTGTGAGGAGAACATATGTATGTGTATATAATTTTTAATGAAAGTGACAAGTTACTAACATCTAAATGCATTTTGTGTGGAATTTTTCCAAGTTATAATTTGAAATGTAAGCTGCCCAATTCTCCTCTTGGATAGGGTTTCTTACCCTCAGCGCTATTGACATTTTGAATCAAATGATTCTTTGTTGTTAGGAGTGTCCTGTGCATTGTAAAATGTTTAGCAGCATCCTTTGCCTTTGCCCCTGGATGTGAGTAGTGCTACCTTCCTTCTCTTCAACCAAAAATATCTGCAGGTTTTGTCAAATGTCCCCTTGGAAATCATCGTTGAGAATCGCCGTTCTGCAATGTAACAGCTGTTTTCCAGGCCTCACCTTAGATAAAACTATGCCTGGTTGAAAAACCTTTTGTAGAGCCATATCTGAAACCTGTAGAGGTGGCTGTTAGAAGGACCCTTTATGTGTCTGCAAAAGATGTCAGATACAATGTTGGGATCTAGAGCCTTAAATTCTGCTGGATTCTATGAGTATTGCCGAGGTTACTCCTGGCCTTCTCTCCAGGAAATTCATCTATTCCTTCCCATTATGGCTTCCACTATATTCTCTATCACTTACCAGATCCCTGTTTTAATCCCAGTCCCACAACATAATCTTTGTTCTTGCTGAAAATTTGTACCAATTTGTGTTCTAACATGGTTTGGAGAATTGGGCAGAATATTTCCCAAACAGTGTATCTGATGACTCAGTTCTATCCTGAGTCACAGTGCATTTGTCATTGTATATGTGTATGATTGTTTGAGGAAAATATTTGGTTTAACAAATTGTGAATACTCCCACTGTTTGTACTTGTGGGATTCAAATAAAAGGGATTAATGTACTAAAATAAGTTATTTGGTAATAAGTGATAACATAAAATTGATTAGGGTATCTGTTGCTTCAGTAATTTGGTTTATGAAGAAAAGTAGTCACAGTACTCTCAGAGTCAAAGCAATGACTTTGTAAAATCCTTTGTTTATTCTATATAATTGAGAAATTTACATGTACTCTTTTCTGAGAGGTAGAGCCTCTAGAAATATTGAACTTTATGAAACTGTACAAATTATTTTTGGCAAATAATGTGAAATTGGAGATAGGTATGAGCTATCAGACCATTTCCAAAAGAGCATTGGATGCTCTATTCTTTCAAAAACTGATTTGTACATTTGAACACTGAATAAATTATGTTAATATTTTGTGTTTGCTTTTGCTAATCAAAGTTTTTGAACACCTGCTGGGTACAGAATACCATATTGGTCATTTTTTTAGAATCATAAAATTGGATTACACAAGTTCCAATTATGGTCACTCTCGGTGGTGGGAGGATACTTAATATGTAGCCTTTGGTGACTTCCAAGTTGGGCTATTTGGAATACATCCTGGGGGTGAGCCTGTTTTATTTTTTTTAAGGCCTAGAGAAAATGACTTATTCTAAGCATAAAAGTAAAGAGTAAACAAAAGCCTAGAGGTGAATATAAGCTTTTTTCTTAGGGTAAACAATGAAGTAGAGTTTAGGGGTTGATTGTAAACATTAGGCTAGAACAACCAGCTATATATACTATAGCAGAGATTCTACAGGAAATTTCCATGGAAACTGTAGATTACAATAATTTACAATATATTTAAAAATAGCTAGAAGAGTCCAAAGATTCCAAACACACAGAAATGATAAATAATTTGGAGATGGAGATTTTAATTATTCTGATTTGATCATTAAACATTGTATATGTGTATCAAATTATATAAGTATAAAAAAATAAGTATGTACAAATATGTGCCAATTGAGAAAATTTTAAATGGTTAAGACAGTAAAAATATTTGAAAAATACTATTTATTAGCTTTATGTAGCTGGGGGAGACTAGAGACAGAAAAATTAGGGCTATATTATGGTATTCTGCACCCAGGGTGATTAGTGGTTTGACAATAGAAATGTGAAGGGAGTGCCACATTGTATTTGTCAGTTGTGGGGACAGAGAGCAGGAAAGAAAGAGGCAAATGTACTAAGAACAGTAACATGGCCGATATTATTAAGAAAACTGGGAAAGGTGCCTGTTACAGCAGTAAGAGGATCAGCTCCTCTTTATTTTATTTCAACAGTAATGTGTATGAAAGGGCTAGAAAAGTTGGGAGATATAGTAAACGTTATTAGGAATTATCTCCTTAATTGAGATGATACGATTTAATGACCTCCATAGAGAAGTCTTTAAATCTAACCTCTTTGAAATAGATTAAACTTTAGAGTGTGCAATTTAGAGTTGGTTATATGCAATGTACATTTTCTTCCTTGTAGTATTTCACTGTTTATACTTCTCAATTGTAGGTTATGGCACACAGCCTGTTTGGGAAAGGAAAATGAAGTAATGGTATTTGGTGGGAGCAAAGATGATTTACTTTCCTTGGATACAGTAAGAAAATCTTATATCTAAATATTTCCTCTGAGTAATTATTTTACTCAAAACAAACAGCTACTCAGCAGCTATTTTAACACTGCAAAATATGCAAAGGCATGAAATGTTACTCTAAAATGCTTAATCTGCAGAATGAGTAGCTTAATGAAGCATTTTAGGGGTTTTTTTTTTTACTTACAAATCAAAATAGGCCTATTAATTTCATTAGCCAAATTATTAAAAAGAGCATTCAAAGGCTGACTCTTCCTTATCTTTTCTCTTTGAGCATTACCCCAGTATGTGTTTTAATAATTTATTGGATTAAAATATACAATATTTGATACAAAAAAGAATACTAATAATGCATTGCTAAGCATCAGGATAAGTGCCCATGAAATTTGCTACTGAGGAATGAGGGCATCCCCAATCCTGTTGAAGTGGCCTGTTATTCCTGAGTCTCACCCACTAGCTTCTCCCCTCAAGAGACAGCTATTTTGTTGAAATACTTGAAGTGTATTTCCTTTTTATTTTATGTAGCTTTACCACTGCTTCACTCACTGTTTTACATTTGAGTTTAAAGCATTCTAGTTTTTAAAATGCAATAAAAATAAAGCCAAAGGAATACATGAGTAGCATTTGAAGACTGTCACTCCTTTACTCCCAGTCTATGGGAAATTCAAGGCAGGCGGGCCACATTCACATGCTGTACATGATGGGACAGACGTTCAGGATTGATTGCTGTGGTTTGCATAGGAAACTGAAGAACAGGACTCTTAGTAGTCAGGGGTTGGGCACAATGAGCCAGAATCCAGCAAGAGAGTATCAGCTCCCTCTCATGTTCTCAGGCACAGGTTGCTTCTACAAAAGGTACCCTTTTTCTCTAGGGAGTTTGTTTTGTTTTGTAATTTTGTAGCTACCAACTTAAATGATACAAATATTGAAAGTTATAGAACTTTCTTTCTTTAGCTAAGGATTTACTGATTCACCAAAATATTAAAACCATAACTTTGCATTTAATTTAACACAATTCCCATCAAAACACCAAAACAAACAAACAAACAAACAAACAAACCACCAAAAAACAATACTTGGCTTGTCTAGAAATCTTTATTTAGAAGCTGGGCACGGTAGATACTTCTGTAATTCCAGCACTCACTCAGGAGGATCACAAGTTTCAGGCCAACCTAGGCTACATGGCAAGACACTGTCTCAAAAAATCCAAACCAAAACAAAAAAAGAAATCTTTATTTAGGATACAAAATTTGTTATTAAAATAAGAATTCTGATTACAATGATGATAATTATGAAAATCTAAAGACCTGTTTGAAAGGATTAGAGAAATTTTCTGTTGACTCTTTCACCATACTAACTTTTAGTTGACTCTATTCAAAAAATCTTCTGGATCTTGATTTTTAAATTAGAATTCATAGAGTTGGGGATATGACTCAGTGGTAGTGCATGTGTAAGGTTCTGGGAGGGACTGTGGTGTAGCATAGTGGTGGAGTGTTTGCCCATCATGCAGGAGGCCCTGGGAAGTGCTGGGTTTGACGCCCAGTACCACAAAAGGGGCCACCTACTAAAGGGAGACAGAACAGAGGATATTTTTAAATGAGTTATTTGGCAGAAACCGTTTTGCTTAAAAAACCAAAAGGCTGGGTGAGGGGCATGGCTCAAGTGGTAGAGCTTCTACCTAAATTCGAACTCCAGTACTGCAAAAATAAATAAACAAAACATTTAACTCACTATTATCAGAGAAGAACATATTTCTGATTTTTAAATTTGCAATTATGTAAGCTATTATTTAGGTAAAAATTTGATCGTGGAAATTTGGTAACCACATACCCAAAGTTTGTGTATGTATGTATGCATATATTTATTTTTGTTACTATGTATGTGTGTTACCAGCTAGAGAGAGATTTTTTTCTTGAAACTCTACATTTTCTCTTCCATGTATAAAATTTTTAAAATCTAGTATTAATGCACTGTTATTTTTATCAAAGTCCCTGATAAGTTCTTTTTTTTATGTGATTAGGGTCACTGTAATGATTTGTTGATCTTTCAAACACAGCCTTATTCACTACTCAGGTAAGTACATCAAGCACTTAACACACATATGTTATGAATGAATGATAATTTCTTTTCCTCTTTTTGGAAGGAGTTATATTTTTCAGGTATTTTATGATTTGAATTCAAAAAAATGTTTCCATCTTCCAAAGAGTATAATCAAATTTGTAATGGTGAATCATATACCAATGTATTTTAAAATATACAGT